TATATCCTAGTTTGTAGTCTATGTAGATGAATGATGTGTTTAATTTTACCACTCGCAATAGTACAATTCCGTGTAGGATAGTGTTATAAAGAGAGGTGTCGAACCCACAGAGAGATGAGATTTATATTCAGTTTTCAATTTAGTTTTATTGATTTATAGGTAACTTGTTGAAGAATTTATTGGTTGTCACGATTAAAAACAAACTAAAATTAAAGCAAAGTATTAAACTAAAATAAACTAAATAATCAGAGAAAGAAATCTTAGGGTTTTAACTTCACCACAATCATCATAATATGGTTAATTGTACCAACTCTGGGGATTTAACAATTATGTTTTTCAAATGAATTGAACTCAATAACATTCGTTCAATTCGGGTTTTAAAGAAAGATGTTTTACAAAATTCAGTTAACTATAACCTATCTGCGGTTAGCGTGGACTATCCACCTACCTACTCTAACTACTTTATAAACAATCCACATTTCCTAAGCATAGACTATGAAAACATTCTTTTGCAAAAAACATTGGAATACCATTATATGACCTCTTTTCTTATGTTCGGCAGGGCTCCGCCAGATACCGTATAACAAGATAGGTTGAGAATAGAAAACAAACAATTATATCTAAAATAAACAATTATATCTAAAACAAGGTAATAACAGTTTGTAATCTATTAAAGCATGAAAACCAATTGAGTTGTCTCAATTGCCCATAGTCATATAATTAAGTAAACATAATATATTAAAATAAATCCCAGAGTTAAAATAATCAAACCATAATACTAGATTGGGTTACATCAGTGCCCTAGGAGAGGAATTAGCTATTCATGACGATGTCGGATATCATCTGTGTATGAGTTGTCTTCATTGTTACAGACGACACTTCTCTTTTTAGGATCTCCACCTCTTATCAAGGCTTGAGCCTTCTTTTATAGAAGAAAATAAGGATTTGGCGGGCTTTTAGGTCTTCTGGCCCATCTAGAATGAGACACGGCTTGAAAAGGAAGTAATCTCGTAACTTTAATCTGACATGTCATGTAAGGCTCGAGCTTTAGGAACAAAGGCTCAAGCATAAGGAACAAGGCTCGAGCTTTTCTGGATAGGTGCTCGAGCTTCAAGAATTGGTGCTCAATCTTCACTTTGACACTTAGCCAAATTTCTTCAATTATTTTTCGAAGCGTCTTTTTCTTCAACACTTAGAATATTCTTGGGATTGAAATCTTTTAACATTACTCGATCAAAGCTTCATGGGCTCGAGCACTAGGTACCATGCTTGAGCATTTGGTTCTCAAGGCTTGAGCTTCAATGGATAGTGCTCGATCTTTGGGTTAAGGCACGAGGTTTGGGAGCTTGGAAATCAACTCTTCATATTCCGACGCCTTGTGTTCGAGCTTAAGGGTCAAGGCTCGAGCACCCTATGGTCAGGCTCGAGCGCCCTTTGTTCAAGTTCGAGCCTGAAGGTACAAGGCTCAAGCATTTACTACCTTGTTGATTTTTGTCTTCTTTGGCTTGTAAGGCTCGAGCTTCATGACTTGGGCTCGAGCTTTTGACTCTGAATTCTTCCAAATTTCACCATTTAAGCTCTCGGCTTGCTCTAGATGACCGGCAATGACTCTGTAAGCTTTGATATCATCATAAAGTCCCGGTTTTAACAATTTTTCTGGGAAAGTACCTGCAAACACACATTAATCATAAATTAATCTAAAACATGATAGATATATCACTTTAGGCTGCAACATATGTCTATTTAGAGGCTCGAATATGCAAATATTTAGCGCTTATCACACCCCCAAACTTACATATTGCTAGTCCCTTAGCAATACAGAACTAAAAAGCCGCTTTCATAGGAATCACGGTTGCATTTAGCCTATGCAACAATCCTTTAAACCCCTAGGTTACCCCTAGTGGACGATTTGTAGTCTCGTGAGGGTTTCCAGTGAAAATACCCACAAACTTCTCAGATCAATGCCTTAACTACATAGTAAGCTTATTCAAGCCTGTTTTCAAATTATATTATCCCTGCAACTCATCAATCAGTCAAACATAGCAAGTACAACTAATCATGTAATTAGAAAAACTTTTAACTTCTACTTTCAATTTAACAGCCATGGTCTCTATATATCAGTTTAATCAGTCATTCAATAATCTTAATCTCCAAAACACTTTTTGAAAGTGACCCTACAATTCAACGTGTGGCTTACTATCCATACTTGCATTTATTCCTAGTTATTCCTCAATTCACAGGCAAACTTCTCAAATTCCAACTCCCAAAGCATTTATTGTTTTTTTTTTTTTAAGGTATGCATATGTTTCAAAAATGATTCTGTGCAATGTTCTGGTCTATTAAGCTTTCTAAATCACTCTTGTAACGAACTTTCAGCCAATGACTCCCAGACCAAATGGTCTTAGGACATTAAGTGATAAAGCACCCCTCAGGACTTAATTATTCAAGTAATCTAGGCAACCTAAACTTCTTATGTAACAAGCTTTCAGCCAATGACTCCCAGACCAGATAATCTTAAAGCATTAGGTGTCAAAACACACCCTAAAGGACTTAATCACTCAAGCAATCTAAGTACAAAACCTGAACTTGATCTTTTTCTACTTCTTTGTTTATTTTTTTCTTTCACTCATATTGGTGAATAATTTTTTTCTTTAATTACAGACATACCAAACTTTTTTATTTTTTTTCAACTTTTTTTTCTTTTCTTTATTTCTATGCCTTGGTTATCAAAATCATCAAATCTATCTATTCATCTCAGTTTAACTCAAAACAAAACAAGACTTCTAAAATTTACCCCACAGAATTCATGCAAGTGTGAATATGTGCAAAGTGTAGTATTCCAGAGATTAATTTCATTAAACAAATATCATCCTAACACAGTGAACCACAGAACATCAATCAATTTCAAAATTGTCAAGAATCCCTTTTCATAATATTTTAACATACAAACCATATCTAACTAACATCAGACTGCAAACAGAGTATATAACAACCAACAGACTCAAAATTATGCTAGTAACAACAATTATCATATCCTTGATATCAAATTTTCAAAATTTTCAAATCTCTCAAATTACCTTACCCCTAAACTTATTTTGCATATTGTCCTCAATGTGTGAGAACAAAAAGAGAGTAGAAAGATATTACCAGAAATGTAGACTAGCAAAGATAGACAACACTAAAACGCAGTATGAAAAATACCATCGAAATTGTCTACTAATAGATAAAGCTGGTAAATGTCAACCAAAAAGCCTATATGTCTACTAATACAACCATAAGTTAACCTGCCAATATGAAAATACCATCCAAATTGTCTAGATCTACTATATGTCACACAAAAAGAATTAAGAAATTTTAACAAATGTAGTACAAGCCTTTCAAAAAGAACCCATCCAAGGCGAAGGAAATGCAGAAAGCACAGCCACAACCCCATCTTCAGCTTCAACTTCAACTTCAACTTCAATAACTCTTCTTGCCCATTTGATTTGAATTACCCTACATTTTTTATAAATTCATTAAGCGCACATTATAATAAATGAAAATTTAACATATAAGAGAAATTAAAGTTCATAACCTTAACTGAATTGGCATCATGACTAGAAAATGAATTTGGGGATACTCTAAGAGCATTTAAAAAATCAGAACCCTTCAAAATAACAAAACAAAATACATGAAATCTTGACATAAGTAAACGTACATTTAGTAAAGAGTAAAACTAATAATAAATATACCTGTCCACTACAATTTTTTTGTTGCATCTGCATTAGCATAGTTACCTGTGTGCATGTTATTATGAATATAGAGCTTTGATTTGAGAAATACAGGTTATCTATGTATTTGTTTTTTAGATTATGTAACACTTCAAAGAGTGTTTGGATGAAAGCGTGAGAATTAAAATAAAAAAATAAAAAAATAAAAAAATAAAAAATTAAGAAATGACTTTTAATGTTTTAGGATGGCCATGTTGTGATTTTTATTTATGTGCTTAAAGTGACTTATTTGATGATTAGGTTTGTTTTGAGCTTTGATTCTTTAGAATATGGGGATACTGTTCTATCATTTACTTCCAAATTATTGTCTACCTAGTGTTAGTGCTTGCATAGACATTTCTGTGGGAGATTCTTTTTTGTCCTTTTATTTTCAATAATTTCATGATTTGAAATTTTAACCCTTTTCATGCACAACTCTTAAGTTTGGGAAGTTACCATGATAGGTAACACCTCTAACTAATGTCATTATTCTTATCCAGAAATTGTCAACAATAGATGACAATTTTTTCAATAAACAGATCTGCCTATGCAAAAATAAAACTGAATTTCAGCAAGAGACACATCCATCAATGCGTATATAAACCAATTTTTAAGACAAATAGAGCTTCCCTACTCATAACTGGAGACAGGTTACAACCAATTTCAGTAACAGGGTTTCTGGAAACAAAATTTTTAGCAAATTAGTGAATTCTGCATTAGAAGAATGCTTCAACATGATAAGCATGTCTGTCAATCAAAGATAGTAGTTCCAAAACATAAAAAAATTGTTAGTACTCAACCATACACTTCAAAGGGAATATCACATATTTCTTAGGCAAAACAAGTACAAGCAGCACAGGCAAATCCAGCAGAATATCTAACAGAACAAAATGATAATGCTGATTAGATTTAGCTTTCTGCTTGGTTCATATCATAATTCTGATTCAAAACAATAGAGTAACCTAACAGAACTTTAACTAGCTAATTTGCTCACAACAATATGTTTTAAGCAGCATTAAGGTGGTTTTCAGTTCTTGTTCTTAGTTTGTTTGGGCCTAATCTGTTTACGTACCATGCCCTTTTTTTGCTGTATTGTAGGTCTTTTTGTTGCTCTTTTAGCCTTCTTACGTTGTGGCCTCTTCAATGCCTATATTCCTATTCTAATACATAAATTTTTTAAATGTCAATATTATCTCTCATTTACCTAGCTACCCCGCGCGCGCGCCCCCGGGGGGGGGGGGGGGGGGGGGGGTGGTGGGGGGGGGTTGGGGGCGCAGGTGTGGGTGTTTGGGGGAATCTCTTATACTTGCCAAAATCTTTTAAGGCCATTAGTAGTTTAGATCAGGAGATATATTACTAAGAACCATTTTACAAGTGATATCAACTAAGTCCAGCTCAAAGCCACTTCAATCTTAAAGGACTAAATAAAACACCAAAACCAGCCTAATATCTAAAATGATCAAGTGCTGGAAAATAAACTTGATTTTAGTATATAGATCAAAATATACTGACTAAGCAATATATATTATATTTCTATCAACAAATATGAAGAATGAAAACACATAGTGCAGCAAACATATACAAACTAAATCATACAAAAAAGAAACCAAGTAATATTACCTGGGGAATTAAGTTTCCACACTGACATAAAGAGATTAAAATATATATATATTGACCAAGCAATGTAGATTATATTTTTATGCACAAATATGAAGAATCAAAACACATAGTGCAACAAACGTATCCAAACTAAAAAAGAAAAAGGGAAGAAAACAAGTAATATTACGTACCTGGGCAATTTAGTTTCTACAAAAGAAGTTGTGTAATGTTGTCTCCAGCACCAAGCAATAATTGGTGTCAAAACAATCAAAATGTATGATCAGCTATATATATAAAAGATCATATGTACGTGTAATTAATTAGTCCCCTTGGCAAAGAAGAATAATGTACTGATAAATCTACTAAATGAAGCAAGTTTTTAACCTTCAGTATTGATGAACCTTTTCTTTGATGATGATCCAACAATCAGTCCTCTAGTTATGCAAGGAAACTTCAGCCTTAGTATATGTTTTGGATGCCTAAGTGCAAAAAAAGAACATGAGGAAAACAATACTGAAGTCTGGAAACAAGAAAATAGAGAAGATCGGTATGAATGATATACTCTGTCAAATTGATCACCAGAACAACAAAAAAATTATAATACTATGAAGAAAAAAATCCATTTCATTATAATATATAGTGATCAAAGTTCGATGTAGCACTGTCCTGGAGCTGCAAGCAGGGGGCTGTATAACAAGATGAACAATGTCAAATCATTATAGTTTGGCCTTCTATAACACAAAAATGAACCAAACTCTAAAATTTCAAGCATTTTGACATGCATTCATTCTTAAAATATGTAATCAAATGATAATGCTGATACTACCTCATGCTTAAAATGTTCCCTTTGAGTGCAGTTTCTTAGTTTTTTGGCTAACTGGAAACGTCAACGTCAACGTCAACTGTCTTTACTGTGCAGAAATCACAACTACTACTGGACACTCCTTTTTGCTTTTGGAATGGAGTTGCGGCTTACTCTAACAGTCCCAACTACTACTCATCAATGCTGATCCTCTCTACTTTTCCAACTTTCCTTTGGAAAGAAATGCCATAAACCAACAATCAAATTAGCATACACAAAGTCAGTCCTGTTAAAAGTACACACTGCAAATTAAAAAGATAGCCTTTTGCAAGCTATAACAGTTCTTAGAATCCCTCTTCTCAAGTATGAAGCCACAAATACGTATGTATATAACTACATCAATACATTTAATGCTCTTTTTTATTCCTCCAGGTAAATAACTGAGATGCAAAACCAGTAAAATGTAAATAAAAAAAGAAAAAGAAAAAAGAATAGAATATATGAACTTCATGTTAACAAACATACTTTATTGTTACCAATTGATTGGCCCTTTTTGCTCTGGTCTGCATTGCACAGATTTCCATAAAACAAACATTGCATAGGTCAGACTTTATAAATAATATAAAATGTCTGTGTTTTGTGGATTTATAAAGCGAGAGGTTATAGGGTTTTCTTCGATCATAGAAAAGGCAAGAGGGAGAAACGGAAAGAAAGGGAAATAATAATAATAATATTAATAACTGTATTTTATATGTGAATCTATCTTCTAGATTAACTTTCTTCCTTCCATAAAATTATCAATAATCAAGTCCTTACTTCTTACCCCTGACAAACAAGAAATCAGGTAATCCCATTTTTCGTGCAAGAATCACCAAGGATCAAAATTTCGTTATAGTGTGGGGGTATGACTTCATTTTAACTCCGTACTTCATTGTTTTATCTTTTATATACACAAACCAATTTAGGGAAAAATAATAATAATAATAATAATAATAATAAATCGTTAGTGTGTTGTTTTAGTCAGCTCCAGAAATAAAAAATAAAAAAATAAAAAAAATAACTTACTTGAACAAGGCATTTAGAACATAAAATTGAATCTATTAGTATATAAAGTAGGGTTAATGGAAGATTTGTTAGGTGTATACATATGTTACACTGTATTTGAGAAGTAAATAATTACACAAATCACAAATTGTTAAATTGAAAAGGGGGGAAAAAAGAAAAAGGAAAAAAGTATACATGATTATAAGGTTAATATTTCACATGGCCGGTTAGGGTTTTCTTCAATTAGAGAAAGGGAAAGAGAGAGGTTAGGGCTTGGTACGTTTGATGGATTAGACAGAGATTAAAGGCTTGCAATTAGATAAGAGAAATAGTATATTGAAATAGTGAAAGGGCCAGAGAGAGATAATTAGAGTTGTTACCTGCCACGGGAAAACTGTCGTCGCCAATAATCGCCTACATATCCATATTCCGAATAAGAAAGCTGAATACAACAAAACTGATGGAAGGAGAGAGTTGTGATGACTGGTGATGGAAGGAGAGAGAGCTGTGATGGAAAACAAAACGGATTCAAAGATTGGGCCATGACCTGTAATGGAAGGAGAGAGAGCGGCTGAAGGAGAGGTTAGGGCTCGTGTAATTGCAAAATGAAATGGGAAAATGGAATACAAACCAAACAATGGTGTTAATGGCCCCAAAAACCGACGTAGTTTAGGCCAAATATTTAATTTCACTAACTTTTCAGCGGAGGAAAAAAATGAAGGGAAAGGAAAAGCTATACAAAAGAGCGCTGGCTATAACCTATACCAACACTCTTAAAAAGAGCCGTTGGTACTATTACACCTATACGCTCCTAAAAAGCGCTGGTATTAGTACACCTAGACCAGCATTCTAAAAGTCTAATATGTTGTAGTATTTTATTATCCTTCATGTTCGTAATGCACATGTGTGGTCATTCATGACTTCAACTAATGTACTAAAGCCGAAAATTTTAAACGGTGAATATAATATCCAATCATATTTCATACTTTATCCAATCAAACTTCACAATTTGAAGTCTCCTTAAATAGTCTATTAACATACATATTACAACCGTATATATGTACTTGGCATATGAATCTCTCATCAATCTTATTTAATCATCCAAGGAGTCTGAGAACACAAATTCATCCATTTGGGTTAAATACACATCAAGTTTCGACTTAACATCCACTAGTTTATTAATTCATGCATTAACACATAAATTGGAAATTATATATAAATTAAATACTCAATTAAACATCAAATTCATATATTTTTTCAGACAGATTTATTCAAACACATACAATATTATATATGCTGGACAAGTCATGTTTCAAAGAAATAACATGTATACCTAATGCTTTGGTTTAGTACAAACAAAAAACTCTATAATTATTCTCGTTCCGCGTGTCATTCAATTCAAGTTACGTCAGACCACCTTGTTTGGTTGAAGAATACAGATGACAACTCTACCTACGAAGCTATCCTTGACCAGATTTTCTTTTCATCAAAGTCGAGATTAACAAACCCATATAGCTTGTTCATATCAAGAATAGTTTTTTTTTTCAACAGGTAACAAAAATTCTTTAAATTGATCAGCACGTTTAACGATGTTACCCATACGCAATTTTGAATAACATCAATGTAATAGATACAACGAATTTCCACGACAAGGAAGAACAGTACTGAACCGAAAACAATAATCGAATAATATAAATTACAAGCACATAAATTTAATTACTTCAATTTTGATTTCTACAAAATTAAAATCCTAGTATAATCATGGCTCTGATACCAATTGTTGGGTTTTAATCAAATAATCCACATGTAGAAATCAAGAATACTACAATTAATTAAATAGAGAATTTAGTCACGTGCCTGATTGATGATTAAATGACACATACCTTTAGATTTTGGAGGATAGCCTTACAATTCTTTGTGATCCTGCAAAACATTAAAGTGTTGTACCCCCTTCTGGGAGTTGTTCTTCGATAGGGCTGAATAAGGGTTTAACCTTTATTTATAACAACAACAGGGGGATGGCTTCTCCACAAATAAATATTCCTAAGTCTCCCTTCCAATTATGGAAACTAAGATATAAATGGTTAGAATTAAATCATAACAAATAAGTTAGAAAATCACAATCCAACATTATAAAATCATACTCCCAATTAAACCACCAAATTGGAAAGTACAACCCAATCCATTAATTATCAATAATCACATTGCAATCCTATTTTAGAAAACGTAGTGCATAGGACCATAAAATAATTTTATTATTTATGTATATATATAATTTCCAACATTATTATCCTAGACCTACCCTTCAAGATATCTCGTATGAAGAAGAATATTTTCATACATGGAAAAACCATTTATGAATGGAACATAAATGGTAAATTTGATTATCAAATTTATGAAGTTATACATCAAATATTGATGTATAGTCAAGTCTGTAAGGTAAATCAGAATGCTGACCCAACAATTGCTAAGCTTGTTGTTGCTGGTTTTACAGGAATCCTTAAAGGATGGTGGGATAATGTTCTCACAGATGTTCAAAAGAATGAGATATTTTCAGCAGTTAAAATTGTCAAGGATGAAAATACTCAGCAAGAAGGTCCAGCACCTGATGCGGTTTATAATCTCATCACTACTATTATCCAACACTTTGTTGGCCCAGAAGGGGCTAATAGTGAACGTAGTAGAGAGTTGTTACAAAATCTAAAATGTCCATCTCCGACCCACTTTAGGTGGTATAAGGATGTATTCTTAGCAAAGGTCTTGCAGCTTAGTGATGCTAACCATGAGCATTGGAAGGCTAAGTTTATTGATGGTCTTCCCACTTTCTTTGCAAAAAGAATAAGGAAGAAGTTAAGGGATATGAATAATGGTATCTCTATCCCTTACAGGAACTATACCTACGATGGATTAATAAACATTGTAATCCAAGAAGGTTTAACTCTCTGTAATGATATAAAGTTACAGTCTCTGTTAAAAGCTCAGCGATTAACTGGTAGAAAAGAGGAAGGCAAATTTTGTGATCAATTTGCCTATCAAACTCCTTTATCTTATCCTAATACTAGGAAAAGACACAAGGCTAAAAATCCTTATAAAAGGAAGTACCCCAAAAGAAAGAATTATTAAAAGAAAATTGTAATGACCCGGTCATTTTCCTTTCTTTCCTTTTTCTTAGATTTTTACGGATATTTTTTTCCCGTTGTCTTTTCCTTTCTGAGTTCGGTTTCTCATCACTTAATGTCATCTCGAGTGCTCAGAAATAATTTCTAAGACTCTTTTCTTTAGATTGACAACTTCCTTTGAGGACCGCGTCATTTCCACATTTTCATTTTTTGGACACTATTCACTATTTCGTCATTTTCCCTATTTCGTCTTTTCCCCGTTTGCCACTTTGTTACATAACTTCACTTCTTGTGTTCGGAGTTGGTTTTTGACTTCACATATCTTCATTCTAAGTGGTTTCCACGAAATACGTATCTTTAGTTTTGCAGTAAAGTACTCTGCTTGCTCCCGATGTCCATAGGGGCATAGATGCATAGTTCTTCAGAATCTTTTCCTTTTCTTGGGGTGTTTTTCATAAATATCTTTTGAAGATATTTATTTCAGGGGTTTTAAGAAAATATCTTTTTGAAAGATATTTTCGTTCTGGGGCAGTTTCGTAGTTTTCACTTTTTGGAGGGCAATTAATGAGAGTTATTGTTAAATGTCTTGTTTTAAGCCTAGATCCACGTACAGGATTCATTTTCACTTTTCGTCAAGTCGTTTACTCTTAGAATTTCCTTCTGATTGTTTTTTTCCAGTTTCAGGGTTTCCGACCCCGGTTAGTGCCAAACTTGTTTTGGGCATATCTCTCTGCTCGGGACTCGGTTTTCGACGCCGTTTCTTCCGTTGTTCATATTTTCTCATTTTGAATCTTTTTCATACACGGAGTTTTGCCGTTTAAGTACGTCTGCTCAAATTTCACTTTTCTGGACCCGGTGGGGCCCGTTCAGGGCACTTTTAGGGTTTTTCTATAAAAAGGGTGTGAGACAAGAGAAATCAGATCTTTTCTCTCTCTCTTGGCCGGATCTCATGGCAGCCATGGCTGCTATGCTTCTCTCTTCTTTTCCAGTCACTTCCCTTTGGTGAAAAGGTGTAGTGCCTTAGTGTTTTATGTTCCCCTTGCCATGCTCTATCTTTCCCCCTTATTAGAAACCATTTCTGACCATTTTTCAAGTTTGGATTTGAAGCCAAGTTGTGATTTTGATGGGGCTTCCATGGGGGTTATGTTCAAGGTGTTGTCCTCGACAAAACCTAGAAGTTTCGTCAGATTCAGAGCACTTTCATTTTGGTGGGGATTTGAGATTTCATCTCAAATGGAGGTAGGGGATGTTTAAGGATTATTTGTGTGTTGTATTGTGTGTTTACCATGATAACACAACATATATGTATGCCTTGTATCAAATCTAGAAAGTTAGTAATATTTAATTTTTTGTATAAGATTAAATTTTCATGATGATGTATAACTTGGATTTGAATTGTGGCATGCTAGAAAATTTGGCTTTAATATGTTTGTTAACATATATTAAATTCAGATTATTTGAATAAGAATTGCACTTTTTATTAAATAATTATCTTTTGTGAAGGTTTAATTTTCATGGGCTTATCTTGCATGAAATTAACTTGCATTATGCTTTTAAATTAAGTTTTGGCATGTTTGTTAACATACTTTAATTTGAGAGCATTTGGTTGAGTTTGAAATTCTAGAGACTTTAATTAAAAGAATTAATTAAAATCTATTTTATGGTTTAATTGGCCTAATTAAGCTTTTGAATGAATATATGTAATGACCATGATATGCCCTTTAACATATATTATATTGAAACCATTTGGAAATGATTTAAAATCTAGAGAGTTTAATTATTTTTATTTAATTAAATTATATCTTATTGTTCCATGGATTTAATCATGTTTTAGAAGTTGCTTCTATATTAAGATCATGGATTTATACTTGTTGTGTATTCACTTGATTATGTTTTAAGCATTGAAGAACATTGTTGTTAAATTTATATTCATGAGAGCATCTTTCTAATATGAATATATTGTTGACTTGTGATTTCATAGCATTATGAATACGGAATGCTTATTGTGCACTATTGGAAGATAAATTGCTAACTTGCTACTATGTAGTAGTAATAAGAGATTCTTGTGAATAATTGATGTTATTAGCCTTATAAACTTCTTACTACAATATCGTAGAATTAGTATTTAAAGTTTACCATGGAGGCATGATTTAAATTGTTAAGTTAGTGATATTGTTTGTTACATTGTATCGTTGTAAAGACTTGACATTTTATATGCCATTTTAGATTTGAAACTCTAAGACATGGATTGAGTGGTTTCAACCTACTTGTGCGTGGAAGGTGGTTTACATGCCTTAAATTATGATATATAAGTTTTGAACTTGATATATTTTGGATTCTCTTCGGACATTGTTGGAGATGTGATGGCTAGGGTTCGGCTCTAGTTTGGAGATTAGAGTCTTTTAAGTCATATGTGCGCACTAGGGTGGTCTTCCTAGCGGGTTAATACCCGGAATAACCATTTTATTCCCGGTGGAAATCCGAGACATGATGTCCAAGTCTTCCACTATTTGTTTTTGCACTTTTAGATTTCAAGTTCATAACCTAGAGAATCTATGTCTTGATGTGTGGTATTAGATATTCTAATTATACTTAATTGTTATATTTAGCTGTTTTCACACTTTTAGATTTCAAGTTGATAAGCTAGAGAATTTATGTCT